TAAGAATACCTGCTTTTTAATAAATTCCATGTAATAACTGATTAACAGAGTTAGATGAGCATGTTTAAACTCTGGTGTTCAAAGGAAAACAGGCAAATAAAATAAAAAACAAAAATGAAAATTAAGTTTGGAAGGCGAAAATTTATATTTCATACATTCTCTTACCAGCTTCAGCAGCTGAGATGAGGTATTCTGTTGCCTCTAACCGTTCAGCTCTTCCCTCTGTCTTATATGATTTGATGGCATTATAACTAAAAGAATTAAACATAAGCAGTTTAATCTGAATAAGTGTCATAACAGTTAAGTCTGTTTTTTAAAGTATGTATAACAACAGTACCCCACAAGTAAAAGTAAATGCATAATGCAACCACAAAATGAGAACTTTTTCAAGAACAGATTTGCTAGAAATGGTTCATTGAAAGATCATGCCATCCCTCCCTCCCAATGGATATGGCTAGAAACACATATGTAAAATGCTTCAATCAACTAGTAACAAATGATAGGAGGAGGGGAAGGAAGGGTGTATGATAGTGCAAAGACTGGGCAGAAAAGGCACAAGAGAACAAAGGGGCACCTAACAAATATGTTCTAAGCACCTATGTTCAGGTATCATCCTGATAGCTGAAAAAGATAAACATATGATGGATTTTTCTTAACAAACTAACAAAGACTGTAAGAGGTACACAAATAATCATAATAAAAGACAACACAGACAGTAACATAGACATTCCGAAACTATGACTGAGATCACAGAAGCCTTTGTGTAGCACGTAGCATTGAGCTGGATATTGAGAGACAGACATAGTTTCAATAGGGAAAGAGATGAGCATGGAGAAAAGTAATGAGGGTGGATGGGAAGATAGGGAAAATTGAGTCACACTTGAGCAACAGGCTGAGACTGGGTTTTCTTTAGCAGAAAATAGCCACTAAATGTTTCTGAACAGGGGAATCAAATTAGCCTATTTTCTCTAACAACAAATTCTACCTTCCTCTTGGAAGCATTCAGTTGAATAAATCTTTTCAAACTTTATGAATACCATTCTAACATGAAACAAGTAAACTCTTTTATTATAAAAAATTCTTCACATAAACCTCATATTCATATGGCTTGTCCTTAGAAACTCTCTTGGAAAATCTATTCAACTCAAATTCATAAAGCATTTATATACGTGGGTGTGTGTGTGTGTGTGTATGTATAGATATACACACACACATATATACACACATATATATGTGTATGTGAGTATGTTTTAGGACTGAAAATAATAAAAATATTTAAACAACACTAAGTTTGAATTTCATTTTGCTTTCACTTAAAAGATATTTTAAGACTGTTTTGGATACTGCCATAAACTTACAGGAGATCAAGTAAAATAATGACACAAGGGGAAAAAAGGCAAATATACTAGGTATTGATGTTTTCCTAAAAATGCTATCCATTAAAACAAAAAAAGCTTCCCCATTCATGGCTTCAGTTTCAAATATCAGAGGCATGCTCAGAGCAGCACATGCTTCTCCAATGCAGTGCCATGAGCTTTGTTACACGCTCTCCTACACGCAATAAGCTGAACATGCCCGCCATAGGCACTTTCTGTGGCTTCTTCAGGAGGCATGTGAGAGCAGTTATTTCAAATGGGGTGATGATATCTGACAGGGGAAGGAGTAAGGACATGATTGAGCTGGGAAGATGGTGGTAGGTCGAAAAAAAACATTAGAAGCAATGTGCTCCAAACCCTTTCAGCCATGCATTGGCTTTTGCTTTCTGTTCTCGATAGGGATGTCCTGTGGTACATGCTCACATGAGGACCCCAAGGTCTGTCTTCTCCTGCTTTTCCAACTTCATTATGAATCAAATGTATTCATGTA